ATCTCGTTGTAACGATCCTACAATATGATAATTTGTATACATATAAATTAATTATACAGAGATTAAATAAATGTAGTTAAGTTAAAAGTTATGCAAGTTAAATAGTGATAAATTTAATAATATGAACAAACGTAAATTACTTATTACAATTCGTATTTAAAAATATTGACAGTGAATATCTAAATATATATATTGATCACGTTTAATCACATGCTTTGTATAATGCGTTTTCCATGTTTCTAAGATGCGTTTTTACTGTGTAGTTGTACATGGGTCAAGAATCGTCACGTATGTCCACCTCTTACGATCTGTTGGCTCGAGAAAGCTGGGAAGAATCGGAGGGATCCGACAACGAGATCAGCGGGCCGTTGTTGGACAGCAGATCGTTGGCCACGCACTTTACTTCGAGCCTGTTTCTGGATCGGGACCGAAAGACACCGACTAAACGAACATTCAAGTGTTCCCACTGTAGCGAAGTGTTTGATTGCCCGAAAGAACGTAGAGTTCACAGCACAACGGTACACAAGGATGCGATGCCCAGTAGCAGTAGAGACCAGCTGGATCAGCCGGAGGTGAAGGACATCAAGTTGCTGGACAGTCGCATGAACATGTTCGACGACATATTCATGCCGAGTATACACATGCAGCAACACATGTATCATCATCAGCAGCCGCTCCTGCACCAACTACAGCCACCGTCGCAGCCTGGATCGGACGGCCTGACGAAGGCCGAGGCCGACCAGAAGATCGGCGAGAATCTGGTGATACCGTCGAACATCGAGGTGATCTGCACAATATGCAATCAGCGATTCAACAGCGAGAAGTCCCTGCAGGCGCATCACCGGCGCATGCACATCGCCGACGTGAACAAACGCATACGCGAGACCGCCAAGTGCCAGATATGCAACGAGGAATTCCCGTCGGTGTTCCTGTACAACGCTCATCTGAAGATACACCCGTTAGAGTGCGGACAGTGCGGCAAGTATTTTTATCGCAAGCAAAACTTTAAGCTCCACATGAAACGTCACTTGGGCATCAAGCCGTTCCCGTGTACCGTGTGCGACAAGGCGTTCCTCACCAAGCAGAAGCTGGAGGAGCACACCAACGGCCACACCGGCAACGCGCCCGTCAGGTGTAGTCTGTGTAACGAGACCTTCCGCAGATACTCGAATCTGACCCAGCACAAAAACAGGCATCACCTCAACATCAAGAAGAAGCTCAAGGACTACATATGCCACTGCGGCGAGGTGTTCCACACGAAGAAGAAGCTCGCCTGGCACAAGGAGACGCACGACGAGAAGCCTAAGGCGTGCACGTACTGCAACGAGCGATTTATCCACATGGCCAGTCTGACGCGTCACATGCGTCGCGCCCACAATCGCCGATTCGTTCCCGACGCTCAGCGCGAGAGCGAGAACGTCGAGTGTCCGATCTGCAAGTGCATCTACCTGCGATCGTCCCTGGCGGTGCATATGCGCGTGCACAACGGCGAGCGGCCGTACGAATGTCAGGTCTGCTCCAAGGCGTTCAGCACCAAGTGGAACCTGCAGCTGCACAAGTGGACTCACGCGGCGCGCAGCACCAAACCGTTCAAGTGCAACCAGTGCAGCGCGGCGTTCTACCGTCACAGCGATTACACGGCCCACATGAATTCCCATCGGAATGTACGGCCGTACACGTGCAACTACTGCGGCGCGCAGTTCATCCGCAAGTACAACTGCCTGCGGCACGTGAAGGAACACGAGGAGAACAAGGCGTACACGTGCGACGTGTGCAACAAGACCTTCCACCGCTCGTACTATCTCAAGGAGCATCTGCGGGTGCATTCGGGCGCGCGTCCGTACACGTGTCACATCTGCGGCAAGTCCAGCGGCACGAAGTCCAATCACAACAAGCACGTGCGAATTCATCACGCGCGCGAGCCTGTAAATACCGAAAATTGAATGAGGATCGCCAGATCGTCTGCCCGCTACATTGATTTTGGCGCTTTCGTGGTCACAATCGGGACGAGTCGGACGACTCAGCGCGGCCGCCCGCGCTGTACTTATAGCGAGATTAGTGCGTACAGTTCTCAGAAAAACTGGAACTATACTTTTACACTTTGATCGGGTATTGATGTAATATCTTGACGAGTTTCAAGTCTCCATGCTGTGGACGCTCCTCAGCGTACCTGTGGCACGTTCGAAGCTGAGCTCGTCGAAGTTGTAATCACGGTGTTAATCCTAGTTTTGAACCGGTTTTCGAACTGGCTTGGTTCAGCCTGAATTCTACGCGGCACAGTCCTGCTGACTGGTTAGCAATTCGCTGTCCTCTTCTAAATTATAGCTACAATTACCGTCGGTACTACGAAATTTAGTTAAGATTATTTAGCGCCGATCGACGTACGGAAAACGGCAGTCGATGTTTCATTGTACTCGATCGGAGACACCGTATCGCGTTCACGCGATGCGGAAGGAGATATTTAACGAATATGTACGGCTGTACGCGTATACGCGCCGATGACAATGAAGACAATTAAGTCACCGTAACGGTATTCGAGTGCTGAGTCTAAAGCACTGGGTCTACTGTTAAGGGTTTTTATTCGATTTCGTATATATACGAGTGTATACTACGTTATACATGCCGTACATTTTTAATATTATTATACTATAAAGGTACATGAATTTTTTATATATCCGAAAGTGTCTTATGGTAACACTTTAAGCATTGCCATACGTAGAATAATTCGGAGACATTAACTTTGTCGTCTGTGTGGTTTCATTCTAAATAAGTAAATTTATCTTCTCTCTTTTTTTTCCTTTTTAATTAAATCGCTATTGAATCACTATAGCTGTTGTATTATTATTAGTTTTTGTTAATAAATGCGAGGTATTTTTTTATTTCTAAGAGATGCATTAGTACACGATTTCTTTTGGCATGCGTATAATATTTAAACTATGTTAAAATGTGATTTAGTTTAATTTAACGTGAAGCACTAAAAAAAAAAAGAAAAGAAATTCTTAGATATCCAAGCATTTAAGAGTAGTACAAGTGCATGCAAGTATTCTGAGGACTTCTTTGTTCAGCAATTTCGAAACTTCCAAAAAAGCACGTCTATATATGTATATAATATGTTGTGTACATATACATTAATTCTATTACTCCAACAGTGTATTACATGTTGTAATTATTTATTTCTTATTTATTAAATCAAGAAGAAATGAAAAATTAACAAAAATTTCGTGTAAAATTTCATATATATATAAATTTTCTAAATTTTATCTAAACCGAGTTTATTTAATGAAACTTGGTTTTGTTTTCTCTGTTGCAAAACTGTAGCCTTGCGAAGATATCTAAGGATCAAAGTTGTTATTTATGATATATTCGTCGAGCAACTTGATTGTATGGGGTTGGGATTTTTATTACGTTATATGCTATGTTTTAAACATTTGCGTATTAGGTAGGTCCAGTGACTTCAGACTACAATTACCTAAGCTAATGATAAATTTTTAATGAAGATTAACTATCGTAATATATGTCACAAAGATTCTCGAATAGTTCTTGCGGAGAAAAATTTGCTACGCAATGAAAGAACACGTTTGCCAACTAATAGTAATTAATTATTATATACAGATAATTAATCCAATTAATATTTACAAAGGTACACAGCACTTTTACGTGTCGATGGTTGTAAAGAATTTTCTTTTTTTACAATAATCTATTTTACACGAGGAGCATGCATGCAAGTGTTTTTGCGCATCATTTCCCCAATGTAAGCCCAATGTAAGCATGGGACGACTCGTATTGAATTGCGATCAATTTTCTATGCAAGGGCCTATATAAATTAATATTATAATTATCGACTATCACATAACAGTTACGAAATCTTAGTTGTTATTCTTCTATATTTATATATTTTGCAATGTGTATAAGACCGGTATTTTATTGGTTATACTATAATTTCAAGACTGATCGGTGTTGGTTCTTTGTATATTGCTCTCTAATACGAATCAAAATAGTTGTGTTCCTCAATTTTAGTTTAATACCATAGTCATTCATTACGATTAATAATTCGTAATAATATCATTACTTACGGAACAGAAGAATGTAAGTCCAAAAGCAAGATCATAGATTTGCACTTCCAAAATGAATGAAAAAGTATTTTGATACGGAGTCAAATTTATATATATAATTAATCTGTTATTTATATATAAGTTAGATCTGATATATTAAATAACAGAGTTTCGTTAAATACTTTTTTGGTTTGAAAACGCGCAATGTTTGAAATGACATTGATTCTTGTATTGCGATTTTTATGCAGAACTTTATGTTGTGTATTGCGGCTATTCTTTCCAAGATATTTCAGTTGTAAAGAGTTTGTTTTAATTGCGATGCCATAAAGAAGTATCAAAATGAATCATTTTGGATTTACTTTTTTCTAACACTCACTGTACTGTTTAAAAACAAGCATGTCATATATAACCGAGCTACATGTCGTTTGCAAAATCAGACCAGTGTCTTGTAATGTAGATGTATGACATTGTTAAGTTAAGCAGATATGCATATTTGTGAATGCAAGAAATGCGTTTAAAATTGGGCGACTTTATTATTTTGATGTAAAAGAGCAATATTGAAGAGGATATGAAGCTGGCTGAAATGTGTGTTAAGCGATTTGTTTGATTGACTCGTGTGTAAATCAAATCGTCTGCTAAAACGAGTCCCAACTATTAAGTTTAAAAGAAGCGACCAAACCAGGAATGACTTTTTAGTGTAAAAAGCACGGTCATGTAAAAATTTATGGATAATTCGATAATGATTGAAATCTAAAGACATTAGTACGGTGAATTGTGCAAAAAAAGTTGGAATATATTACGTATACATATGATGGAGTCTGTTTAAAGAATATTAACCCTTTGTACTCGAAGTGTTTGTTATCCGACATTGTCAGGGATATTTCGTGTAGTGGAAGTGTGCAAGTAATTTTATCTTACGTTATTTCTAAAATTCACTGCTCAGCTAAGATTACAACTTGTTGGTAATTTAATGTAAGAGGAATGACCGGGGCGGGGGGGGGGGAATATCACTACGGAAAATTTAAATTTTGACAGAAGATATCTAGCTAACTCTAGAAAATATAGATTGTGGATTGATAAGAACAATCACACGCTGAAAACAATCGCGAACGTGAACGTGATAAAATAAGAAAAGGATGCTGTGTACGTGTGTGTGTGTATATATAAATATATATATATATATATATATTGTGAATACGTGAATCATTAAAATAGATATAGTATGTTACAATGTACTCGAGCAGCGTGGAAGTGGAAGTGAAAGTAAGCGCGATTGATAACAAACGGATTCAATTTTCGTCACAAGGTTCCACTCGAATAGAGAGTGATGCATGCACGATTTAGGTAGAACGAATTTTATTATTGTGCGTATAACTTTGTATGGGAGGAATTTGTAACTTGTAAATGTGACGTTTTGCAGCTCTAATCTATACTTGATAGGGATAAACCAGAAAGTCAGAATATCTGTGAGAGGTAAATTAAATTCTTTGCAATAATATGTAATACTGATGTGACTCGGCGTGAATATTTCAGGGATAGGTTTCTTTGACACTGAGGTATCGAATTTTCTTCGAGGAAGTATTCAAGTGATAATCACAACTGATTTTATAGCAACAAGTAGTAACAATACGGTAGTACAGTATTTTCAGGGCACAATGGGAATATTTGAATAGCAGAAATGTGACAATCCAATGACTGTCGGTTCTTCCGTCGTTGATAATTGTATTCCTGGTAATTTTTATTATGTCAGAGAATATTTTCTTGTTTGCTATTTTTCTACATATCTTCGTTGACGAGTGAATGCATTTATATTGAAGCGATTATACTTAATATATGTCTTATATGGGTGCAGTTTTTTTTATTTATAATGCTCAGGAGAAAAATGTAATCATGTTTTAATGATATTCCAATAGACTTTAAATAGTATTGACTAAGTTTAGCAGCATTCTCTTTTCTTTCTCTGAGCATAATAAATTGATGTAATTGGAAGGAAAACAGCAACGAGGAATAAATTATGTACTCGGCAAGAAATCTATCCCTAAAAATATACGCCCTTATTATTCGCGCGTTTTTGCAACACACTCGGTGTACTCTGGCGTGTTTTTTGTAATACTGCAATGTTTGCATATAAATATTCCTATTTGCAGGCAATATTCAAGCACAAAGGGTTAAAATATATATTTCGCGATGGTCTGTACAAGGAGGTAGAAATGCATCGACGGTTCTCGATAATCGACTCCATCGTTTTTATCTGTCAAATTAGTCACGTTTAGTTTATCGTCCATCTATTGATACATCACCACAAGCAGCGATTGCACGCTCAGTCTCCTCTATCGTTCCCACTGAGTTTACTCGTTTTAAAAACGGTTTGATACGTGATGGGTATTCAGGTAGTTTGAGAAGCCCACCTACAACCAACATCGACGTCCAGATGTGCAATTGTTTAGCTAAACTATTCATATTATATCTATTATTCATAAAACGAACGTCGTTGTAAATAATGTAAATATGTACATCAGTTCTATTTTATAATAGGGCCAATGAATTGATTTGGCAATTGAGTATCATAACGAAACTCGATCTACGCTGTAAGCAGATTAAAAAAATAGGGTAACATTATCATTAAAAAGGAAAAAAAAACAATAAATCAACATATGTATACCTTAATAAAATTTATGTATTGAGGTACGTTTTTAAATAAGTTCATTTTTTCTCATTTTCTTTTCGTTCACACCAACACCCTGTGCTTACAACATTAAATATAATCGCATATGTGAAGTTAATTAAAAGTAATTTTAAATAGATTTTTCTCAGAATGAAGTATTTGCAAAATAATGCTTCTTTCTAATTGTAATTTATATTTTGTTAAAGTTGCTGAAATATTAAGCAAAAATAACTTATTGTAACGTTTATATTTATTATTGCATAACATGTGATTTGGATTTAAAAAATTATAACTTAGATATATAGATATTTATTGCATTACGTTTAAAGTAAAAAAAAACATTAAGACGTTAGTAAGTGACATTATGGAAAAAAAACTTAATATTTTTTATTGTTTCTTAATTTCGAAGATTAAAGAAGAATTTAATTTTGTAGAATAAATTCTTTTAATTAATTTCTTATAATAAATATATTTTTTGTAAGTATACTTCTTTTTAAAACTATTTTAACTTTTTTTTTAATTATCAATTATTTAAATTTGAATGATAGGGAATTTTTAGAAGTGTTAAAATTATACGAGAAGTTCCTATTCTCCGATTGTAATTTAAATTTTAAACATTTGCGATAATAGAGGCCCAGGTAGCAAAGTGACGTCAAATGACGTCTTAATGACGTCAATTAGACGTCTTTCATCTTTGCTACTTGGGAGGGTATACCTATACGTATATTGTATTCGACAACAATTTATTTGACAGAAAAAAATGAATTATTTCTCTATTGACTATTAAATGCAAACGAAATTGAACTAAATCTTAATTATTCTACGGTGCATAAGACATTTTAGAAATTTTCCTGTACGGTGCATTTCTAATAATTTATCGTGAAACACAGAAAAATGCATTAAATGTACTACGCTATAAACTTAAAGTTTGTTCCTTATAGATAAACTCATACTTTTCATCGTCCCTCTCTCTCTCGCCAACGTTTAATCAGAAACCAGCTGTTTAATTATACAACTTTCATTTTAAGTGCAGAAAGTATAATACAGTGCACTTACGAAGAACAGAATTGATGCTTCACGAGTTTTGTTGTGCGGCACATAACCTCAAAATGTTTGCCGCTTAGTGCGCTTTTTCGAGGAAGTTGCATAGTATATATAATATAAGGTACGAGATATAATATTAAAATAACATAACGAAAAATAACAAAAACAATAATTTTCTAAGGGGAATCTATCGTTTCGGCGAGATGTCGTCGAAGAGAAAGAGCGACGCGCAAGTGCCGGCCGAGGAGAGCGATCTGCTCTCGATCCGGCCGCTCGGCGCGGGCCAGGAGGTCGGCAGGTCGTGTATCATGTTAGAATTCAAAGGTAAGAAAATTATGCTGGACTGCGGCATACATCCCGGTCTCTCTGGCATGGACGCCCTGCCGTTCGTCGACCTCGTCGAGGCCGACGAGATCGACCTCCTGCTGATCTCCCACTTTCACCTGGACCACTGCGGCGCGCTGCCCTGGTTTCTGCTAAAGACGAGCTTCAAAGGTCGTTGCTTCATGACGCACGCCACCAAGGCCATTTATCGCTGGCTACTGTCGGACTACATCAAGGTGAGCAACATCGCCACCGAGCAGATGCTGTACACGGAGTCCGATCTGGAGGCCAGCATGGACAAGATAGAGACGATCAACTTCCACGAGGAGAAGGACGTGTTCGGGATCAAGTTCTGGGCGTACAACGCCGGCCACGTGCTGGGCGCTGCTATGTTCATGATAGAGATTGCCGGCGTGAAGATCCTGTACACGGGGGACTTCAGCCGGCAGGAGGACCGGCACCTGATGGCCGCCGAGATACCGAACATTCATCCCGACGTGCTGATCACGGAGTCCACCTACGGCACGCACATCCACGAGAAGCGGGAGGATCGCGAGGGCAGATTTACGAATCTCGTGCACGAGATCGTCAACAGGGGCGGCAGATGCCTGATACCCGTGTTCGCTCTGGGAAGGGCGCAGGAGCTCCTCCTCATTCTGGACGAGTACTGGAGCCAGCATTCGGAACTGCACGAGATACCGATCTACTACGCCTCCTCCTTGGCGAAAAAGTGCATGGCCGTTTATCAGACATACGTGAACGCCATGAACGACAAGATCAGACGGCAGATAGCTATCAATAATCCTTTCGTGTTCAAGCACATTTCTAATTTGAAGGGGATAGATCACTTCGAGGATATCGGACCGTGCGTGGTGATGGCCTCGCCCGGTATGATGCAGAGCGGCTTGTCGAGGGAGCTGTTCGAGTCCTGGTGCACAGATGCGAAAAACGGGGTGATCATAGCCGGCTACTGTGTGGAGGGAACGCTGGCGAAGACGATTCTGTCGGAGCCGGAGGAGATTACGACTATGTCCGGGCAAAAGTTGCCGTTGAAGATGTCCGTCGACTACATATCGTTCTCGGCTCACACCGACTACCAGCAAACCTCGGAGTTTATACGGACTTTGAAGCCGCCGCACGTGGTGCTGGTGCACGGCGAGCAGAACGAGATGGGCAGGTTGAAAGCGGCGTTGCAACGGGAGTACGAGGACGATCCCAACACCACCATGGAGATACACAATCCGCGAAACACGGTCGCGGTGGAGCTCTACTTCAGGGGCGAGAAGACCGCCAAGGTGATGGGCACGCTGGCGATGGAGGCTCCTAGACCGGGGCAGAAGTTATCCGGCGTGTTGGTCAAGAGAAACTTCAATTATCACATGCTAGCCCCGTGCGACCTGTCCAAGTACACGGACATGAGTATGAGCCAAGTTATACAGCGGCAGAGCGTGTACTTCTCCGCGTCTTTGCCAGTGTTGAAGCACCTTCTGACGCAGATAGCCGGCAGCCTGGAGGTCGTGGACGACAAGAAGCTGAGGGTATTCAAGAACGTCGACGTCACGATCGACGGCAAGATCGTCACGATGGAGTGGATAGCGACGCCGGTGAACGACATGTACGCGGATTCCGTTCTCACGGCGATCCTGCAGGCCGAGATAATGGACCAGTCGCCGAAGGTGTTGCCCGCGCCCACCAAGATGGACAGGATGCACTTTAAAGAGTGCCTCATAGAGATGCTGCAGGAGATGTTCGGCGAGGATTCCGTGCCCAAGATATTCAAAGGAGAGAAACTCTATGTCACGGTAGACGGTAAGAAAGCGCATATAGACCTGCTGAACTTGGAGGTGACCAGCAAGGAGGACGAAACTTTTCAGCAAATAGTGCAAACAGCGGTGACGAAATTGCATCAGTCGTTGGCGCCGCCTTGCGATGTAATATAGCGCAAATAGATATTCAGTCCCGAATAAATATCATTTTATACTGTTAATAATTTATTTATTCTTTGTAAACAATTGGCACTGCCTTGTATCTTCGTACATCATAATTTTAATGCATCTTAATTTTTCTTAATTTTGTCCAACATTAACTATATTATTATCATATCGTTAATGATAATCATCATATTATTATAAGGATTATATATTGTGACTGGTAATATTTTATATTACGTATTATCATATTTAATGGATAAAGTCTAGTAAGTCTAGTAAAGTCTACTAAATCTTATATTCTTTTAACAGCGTTTATTTTTTGTTTTTTATATCAAGAATAAAAAAACTGAGATAAAAAGAAGAGATGTACATATACATAGAGAAATATATTTAAAATATTTTTTTTTATTGAAGATTTTTTTTATAATACTGTTCCTCTCTTGAGTTTTGAAGCAAGGAATATATAAAAATTGATCAAAGATATAATGCACGCTATATAAACTATTAACAATTTCTATTATACATTAATTTCGTGCAAAGATATTTGATTGAGATAAATCATTTATAATATTTACATTTTTTTTTGGAGATATAAAAGATGTGAAAAGATAAAGTATTTTTACTTTTAAATACTAATATGGTTCAATTAAGCTTCAATATAATAAAAATTTCTTTACATATAGGAACATTTAAATATTGATCTTTAAAAATGATAATGCTTCATTGAAAAATACTGGATTCCATTTCAACTATTTACAATTTTCTAAATTTTTATCACTCGTAAAAATATATGAATAATATGACTTGACTTAAGATAAACAATCAAGTATTTACATTTCCCATAAGTATTAAAAAATAATATGTATAAAATATGTATAAAATATCTGATATATGACATGATCCATAAATAGTCTAACCGTAACCAATTATTAAAAATAGTGTATAAAAATAGCGATTCGATAGTAATAATTAGCGCGCTATGATTAGGAATGTCTGCTAAAATTGATAATCATTTAAATCGCCCCATGCAGGCCCAACTCTGACTTTTACTGGCAATGGCACAGTGAGTTGGCACACATTTTCCATTGAATCTTTAATTATAACAGCAACTTCCTTTAAATCTGCTAAATTTACCTAAAGTAGTATTAAAAGATTATTTATTTTGCATTTATAACAAACATCTTATAAGACGCCATAAAACCCGAATAATTTGAACTCGCAGTAGATACATAACAAATCAATAGTACTTACTTCGTATAACAATTCATCGTGTAACTGTAAAACTAAATAACCACCTCTCTGTTGCAAGTTGCTTCGTAATCTGCGAGTGGTGTGCACCTCTGGAAATACTATAGCCGAGTTCGGAAAGTAACTTCTTATCTTGTCCTCTATACTTATCATGGCCTTTTTGACGATGTCCGCGGCGGAACCCTGTACCTTTGTGTTTACAGCTTGTCGTTCTGCTTGCGCTGAAATTCAACGGATACGCAGTTTGTTAAATTATTTAAATCGAAACAGCAAACAGAGTCCAATAAGTGACGATCAATATTCACCTCTCGTAGATGATTTTGTACTTTTTAGATCCGGAAGCTGTCTACGTCTTCCGAGTAGGGTTGTCACATATCCATCGTGATGCGCTTCTTCTAGTACGTCGTTTAACCATTTATATATGCCCGGATATGCGCTCATAAAAGATTCTAAAAATTCTTGAGCTTCGGTTTCGCTTATGCACAGACTTTCAGCCAATGATTTTACTCCCATGCCGTAAATCATGCCGTAACACAATTGCTTGGTACGCTGACGCATTTCATTAGTTACCTACATATTCAGGTAATATAATTAATAAATGAGTAAAATGTTTAAAAATAGACGAATTGTAAACGGTATACATGAATTTTCATATGAATTTGGTATGATAATTATTACATCAGTGAATACCTGTTCTTCTACTACATTATTCCATTTGGCAGCGATGTTTTTAAAAATGTCACCCTGCTGTCTCATGATTTTGCACAATACCGAATCTTGCGAAAAATGCGTCAAGAGGCGCAATTCGAGTTGACAATAGTCGGCGGATAGCATTATGTTGCCCAAAGCTGGTACAAATGCCATTCTTACGCTTACGACCAGATTATTGTCTACGAAATTAAAATCCTTTGGCACATTCTGCAAATTTGGCTCGTGCATCGAGACTCTTCCTGTCACCGTACAAGTGATACAATTACCACGAATACGAGAATCTTCTTGGGCTAGGTTTAGCAACGGATAAATCATCTATAGGCAAAAATATACACAGCAAAATATGTTATTAAATCATTTTTTTTCTGTATACTCTGTTTCTTATATCTGTTTTATTATATTTTCACATAGCTTAACATTTTTTCTATTGGAAGTAGAAAAGCACGAATCAAGAAACACAAGAAAAATTCTTTCATTTAAAAATATATATGTTAGGAAAAAATATTAGCTTTGTATGCAATATATCACATGCACATTGGAAGAATCAAGTAAATCATTCTACTTATCGTATAATTACTTTTGTTCTCGTTGCATTTAATTTCCGCCAGGAAATCACCAAGGTCGATATTGGATTATCACATTTTTCCAAAACAGCCTTGCTTGTACTGACCTTTTTATCTTTATATAATCCTAATACCTAAATGACACGTACATATTTTGTATAATGTAATATGGATATTAAGATTATATAAAGACGTGTGTAAAATGTATAATATATATGTATAATATATATATATTATTTTTTTTTTTTTAACGAACCTGTCCAACTTCTTTGGACGATGAAAAGTTAAATTTTCTGCCTGCCAAGTTGTAAGCTTTTGTTTCTAAAGACTCCATTTCATTTGAAATAACCGACGACAGCTCTTGTAAAGACTTTAGATTCACGCCAATGCCCGATAATTCCATACAAGCTAAAGTTGTCATGATTTTCATTTCTACTTCTGAAAATGAACATTAATTTAATGGTCGTTATAAGGTAGAGAGAGACATATATGTATCTATGTAATCTCTATTGTACCTCTAAACGTATAAATTAGAACAGGATTAAGTTCTTCTAATTTACTCGTGACATTATCCACCATGTGCCACGTAAGGACGGCTTCTGCTGCTGATCTAAACTCGCCTGGTAAAGAACTTCGCACATCCATCCCAGGACCGGCATAGTAAGAAGATTTTGTACGTTTCATTATAAAAGTCCCTTGTGGAAAGTATTGCACTACCTATTTAGAATTTGATGGATGTATTGTACGCAATTTTAAAAATTCATATAGCATTAATAATCTTTCTTAAGTCGACATTTTTTTAACAATACATTTATATTACTAATCCTAATCTTTATTAGATTATTTCATACAAGAAGACGTAACTAAAATCTCACCATTTCGTTGAAATTTCTTTCGAAATCATTGGTATACAACCAATGTGCAATCACGGGATCAAGAAATCTACATTTGACAGTGATTCCGCAGCATTGATACAAGAGTTTATATACATCCTTTATCGCGAAGCATTTTACGTACAAAGTCGTATCGTAAAATAATTCTTTCAATAGAGCCATCTGTTCTTTTCCGGAGACTTTTGATTCTAGAACAATTATAATATTTACATTAAATCTAAAATAATGATAATTTATAATTAAAAAGCATTAACTGAAAAGACATATGACATTTCTATTACCTTGTGAATTACTGAAGGAGACATAATATGCAATATTACTTTCCCAGGATATTGCAACGCCGCGAATTTCTTTATTCCCATGCGCATAACTTCCAGATCTTCTGAGTCTTCGTTTTCCTTCTGTGTTAGAGGCACAAATCCTTGAGCCTATGTTATTTGTATTATCTATATATGTGTCACAGTGCAAGGCTAACGCGATATTTCGTTTCTTTAATACTTCGCGTTTGAACAGATTAAAAGTCGCTCTGTTGTTTGCAACTTTCACGATATTCAATGTATTCCAATCTACCGTTTCGTTCAACAAATCCTTTTTCTTATCAGATGATATATTTTCTGTCTTTAATTTGATATCTTTATTCAAGTTATTCGATTGCGTCTCGTGCTGCTTTGTTCTCAAAGTTGATCTGGTTAAATTGTTTGTCGCCTCATCTTCGGAATTATACACAATGCTGTCTATACTACAATTCGCAGAAAGCAATGCATTTGGTGGTAAAATTTTCTTCAACTTTGGCTTCACTTCACTTTCTTCTTCTTTTATTTTATCCTCCGCTATGTCATTCGTTATTTCTTTTATAGGAGAATTTAAATGATTGTTTATTTCTGTTATTGTAACCTCGGGGAGTTTCTGAGAACGCAGTTTACGCATTTTCTCCAACGTCGTCCTCGTTCGACTTTTATTACTGCTAAAAGGAGATTCGAATTGCTGCGAACCAACGACGAAGTCATCCGAGTCGGATTTATTTGAATCCGCGGACGTCTTCCGTTCCTTTTTGAAAACGATTATATTCGCCACAGGGGAATCCACTTTCGTTACTTTTGACAATTTCCGTGGCGTTTTCCCCTTAAGTGCGGCAGTACGTTTCTTAACATCCGCTTTATGCACGTCGTCTTTACTATCTCGCGCGCAAGTTTTCGTATTTTTTAACGTAATAGACTCACTTGTGTTAACAATGTTTCTAATTTTAGAATTACTATTTTCTTTCTTGGGTTGCATTATATTTTGATCTTGCTGCACTATCTGTTTCAGCAATTCGGAATTATTCCACGAATCGTTACCCCATGACAATATGCTGTTTTTGGTTTGCAAATTAGACGCGTCTATACCTTTCGCATTATTTTCTCCACACAATTGCACATTGCCGGTATTTGAACTTGTAGATTGTTTCTGTAACGCATCCGCGGCATTTGATTCGCTTGCGAGTACTTTCGAATCCAATTCCGTCAAATGCGCGATATTCATGACATTTTGCTCGAGAATATCGCACATTTGGGTGTCAAGATTCAAACTGTCGTCGAATAGACTAGGACTCCTTGAGTAGGACGGTTTAACATCTCCACTTATAATAGATGCACTTTCGTCTTTGTCTATAAAATTCTCATTCTTTATCTCATTCGTGTTGGAATTTTTTAACTTTTTGTTAGGTATATCGTTAACAACCAAGTTGAATTTTTCTAAATTTTTGCTACTTCTCTTTATCTTATTGCTATCATCAGTCGCGGGAGAATTTTTCTTTTCTTTAGGCGTACCTAGTGGTTCATCGTTTGCTATCATATCGGGAGAACTTAAGTCGAGAAACATAGACGAATCTTCGTCATCTTTTGAGACTTCAAGCGGCAAATCAGCTTCATTTAAATGTTGATTGTTCAATTCAGTTACTTCTTTTTTGTCCAACGCGTCGGTTCCACTGATTTCTTCACGTACGTCAGGTTTTGGATTATTATCCTTTTCACTTTCGTTACTCACAAGGTTTCCGTTCGCCAAACTTTCTATCGATGTTCTCATTGTCGTAGATTCCAAGTCCTTTATATTCAAATCGGTCTGAATATTTTCCTTTATGTTAGACGTATCTTCAGCATTTCTAACATTTACTTGCAGAGATCGTTCATTCTGCTCCCATGGCATCTGCTCCAGGCCCAACTCTTTCTATAAATAATCATTATTTTATTGCAATGACCGATAAAGAGGGGCGTATTATATATTTATAAAATTAAAAATTATATTTTATATATATATATATATATATATATATATAAACCTGAATTAATGTCCGCGCCTCTTGAACTAATAAAACTGCAGCTTGTTGAGGTGTGAGACCATCTCTTCCAGTGACGAATACTGTCCTCATTTTATTTCTCTTTTCCACTTCAAGCGCATATTCTCCCTCACATTCTTTTTCGCTAAAACATACGCAAAAAACACCTAAATATAATAAGGTATAATAAGTATATGATCTGTATTCATATACTAGATTTGACGCTAAATATGTATATGATCCAAAGCCCGATTACATGCAATTTTTACATGCAAGATAAAAAGTCTTATTTACTATTAAACATGTATGAGTACATAGAGATATTTACATATCCATACGAAAAAGATAATTTATATATAAAAGGTACGAATTAATATAATTCGAACCTTTCGAAAGGGAGAGCAGTGTAAAGCGCGCGTTCGACATTAAGTTCATTAGCAACAGCTAAGTCTGCTACGGTTTCTATTCCCTGTTTATATAGGCTCCTTGCTCGCAAGCCGTTTAACATCGGCAGACGCAGCAAATCTAGCAATTCTCTGCAGACGCCGAACTGCAATCTCGTTTGAAATTGATTCACCAATAATTCCATGCAATCCCAACCTAATTGCTTGCAAAATTGCGTGACCATACCTAAGATAAGATTGATACATGCTATAGAAAATTTGCTTCCCGAATAATAAATTTATCGTTATTAATTTATTCGCTTTATTCGGTTTACCCGCGTACGTGGCGGCAGACTGCTGTAAGGTTTGCAATACTCCGCGACAACACCCGTATTTTTTACAAACCGCATGAAGCGGCATTTCCTTCACCAAATCGTGTAGCGCCAATGCGCTGTAGAATCTCCTATGTATATTCAACTGTGACACGAAGCATTCTCATTAGCAAATCTATGGGTACCAATTCTAATACTTCATGTCTTTCGCATTTAGAATAAGCAAATTCTCAATTACCGATTTTCCAGGTTTAACGACTCCCCTGATAGCTGACAACACAAAACGCTCTTCTACTCCGACGAGTTTTCCAACTCTGCGCTCGCTTTCGGACATAGCGTTCCACAATTCGTGAAACGTCATCCAATCGACAGTTCCAATTTGACATCCGGACGAGAGTGGAGTTACCAAATATATCACGTGCAATTCGGTGTCCAAAACGAAACACCTTCGTGCTTTCTGTAATTCTTCAAACAGAAACAATCCCTCTCTGGGAGGTATAGACGCGGCCAAACATGCTTTCCCAAGCGGCGTTGCTACCCACCTAGATTCCCGCTCTGTAGTTTGTAATCTGTGCAAATAATAAAATTATATAAATTAATATTTTAAGAAAATCATCAAGTGATATATTTAACTTCATAAAGAGAGTTATAATACACAGGGTTCAATTACACTTACAATAAAAATTCATTATCTAATAAGAATTTCATCGCTTCATTGGAAAATGTTCGCACATCAGACTGTTCATTCAAGCTTAGCAAAGTACAATTAATGTACAGTTCTAAATCTTCGTATGTATATAAAACTTCGCTAGCTACTGCTTCCAAGAGCGCCCTTATTAGTAGCGTGGAATCATTGAGACAAGATTCAATTGGATCCAGAGCTGCAGAGAGCAATGACGTAGCTGCATTACGTTCATTCGGTTTACATATTAGTATACTTTCTCCTGGAAATTATAAAATTTTCGTTATTATTACATTTATATTGTTAGTGATGCGTGATGTTTTATATAATTTTCTGGTCTTAATTTAGTTTCAAAGGCAAGTACAAAATAATTATAATGCATTATTTCTTTCATACTTTTTAAATACATCTTGCAGTTTAATACAATCAAGACGACTCATATCTCGTTCATTCATTATACATTCTGATATTTCTTACCTGCGCTGTCTTTCCCCATACGACCAGCACGTCCTATCATTTGTTTGTAAGTTAAAGTATTCAACGGACTTCCACCAAATAGAGGTGATCTTATGATTACTCTTCGTGCAGGTAAGTTTACTCCACTACTTAATGTCGACGTTGCTATAAGAACCCTCAAGGATCCCGTTCTAGAATGACAATATCAAGTTTAAAAATCCGTAAAAGATTTATCAGTCAAATAAATACATGATTATCACCTGAAGGATCCTTCTATGATATCACGTTCGTCCATTGTGAGTCCAGCATGATGAAACGCAACGCCGAACGAAATCGTGTTTTTTAAAATTTTGTCTAAACCACTTGGACTACGTTTTAATTGTTCCAGAGTTTCATGGATTAATTCAGGAGTAATTTCTTTCTTCAATATCTCACCAAGCTTTGTATTTTCACGACCTATTCACAGATTGAGATTAGAGGGGGGAGGTAGAGAGAGAGAGAGAGAGAGAGAGAGAGATCTTGTTTTTTTTAATTGCAGTTTTGTGTTTAAAATAAAACAAATATATTACTATACTTTATAGAGAAAAGAGCAAGACAATAAAATCATAAACAAATATAGAAAGCACTGATAAAAAAAAAACAAATCTATATTTATTCGATCTGAAGCAGACCTAACTTGAAGAAAGTTGCAGCAATTTGTTCTGCCAATTTCTCACACCATTTCTTTGTGGGACAGAAAATCAACACACTATGACTGGCACCTATTGTCTCAATGCAAAGCTGTAGAATATTATCTACATCTGTTTCTAATTCTTGCAACTCTGACAGTTTTCTGACAAGATTCAATTTGTTATCATATATATTTGCTTCTATCTGTAAGTAGAAATGATCTTAAACAGTGATCAGAATCTCTCTAGATTGTCTTCAGCAAAATACAATCAAATCTCCGTTATCTCAAATAAACAAAAATAATTTGTATATTTTCTATGCATTTTTACCTTGCAATATTCATTCAACGGTATGGGCCGAAACTCAGTCTTGTACAGCTCCGCACCCAACCATTTGGCTAGCAGAGGTAAGTTAGGTAATGTGGCTGACATACCTATCAATTGTATATTGATATCATCGTTGCTGAAATGTTAAATTGTAAATGACTCCCAATTACGATTCAAGTTTCAATACAATCAGCAAACTCACTGGACAGTCATGTATTTCAATTTGGTCAGAAGTAGCTCCAAGAGATAGCCACGATTAGGATCACCGAGTAGATGCAATTCGTCTATTATCACAGCTCCTAAGCTACTCAAATCTTTTTCCTCCATCAAACGATTCACCAAAGAATTCGCCTTCTCTATAGTCGCTATTGCAACGTGGGTAGCAGCAAATCCTCCGGGCGGGACGTTTCCTCCCATAAATCCTTCCACTCTTATCCCACTGTCGGACAATAAATCCTGAATGCCAAATTTATCAATTTATTTATAAGGAATATCGTGCAATTTAAGATATGTTCGTAATAATTTTATTTCAATATATCTTACTTGAAAGTAATACATCTTTTCTCTAACGACAGACACAAACGGCAGGATAAAGATCACTTTCTTCTGCTTTTCTAGAACGGTCTTAATTAAGAGGACTTCAGCGACGAAGGTCTTTCCTGCGGAGGTAGGCGCGGAATACACGAGATTCCTTCTCTCTTGCGTTACTAGACGATTCGACAAGCACTCCATTTGCCATGGAAACATGCGTTCTACCCCACGGGCAGTGTATTTCTGAAAAACAATATAATTATCAAAATCATTGAATTTGATTCATACATAAATCTAAGAATACTGTTTATATTATACAAAACCACAGAAGTATTGCACACTCGTATAAATATAAAATGTCAAGGAATTATAAATAATAGCAGTTATTTTAACTATTCAACGAGTCAGTAATGTCAAAATTATTTTAAACCAAACATTGAAGAATTGTGGCAACTTAAAATCTAAAAAAAAATATATATATATAAATATCGAATCTTTATTTATGTTTGAATTTTTATTTGATTAATTGCAACAGACTTCAACAGATATTCAATATCTCAAAATTTAATAAATATCTGTACTAACAACACATTATTAGAATACTTAATTAATTTAAAAGTTTGAGGAAAGTTATGACACATACATAAAATAAAGAAACATCTTCTAATAAATATTTATGCATAGACAAACATTTATTACGCGTACTATAACACAATACCTGTAGAATATTTGGCGGCAGGCCCCACGACGCCAATTTACAACGGTCCTGAGTGCAAAGTGGTGGAGACGAAATAACAAACTCCGAATTTTCACTATTGTACGTAGCATTAACGGCCGATGACGTTCTGACTCCACTGCTACTTGTTGCATCTTGCGCATTATTGGAAGACTTATTTTTACAGAGAGTACCCTGAATACCAGATCCATCGCACTTCTGTTTATTGTCAGCTGTGCCGGGACGACGTTTCTCCTTCAAATTGTTATCAACATGCTTCTTGTTTATTTCACGAGGACTCCGATTTCTTTGGGACGGCAAGAGCCCGCTTCTTCTCGGAGCACCGGTGGCCGAGGATAAATTTCTTCTGTTGTTGACCTTAGGAAATGTAATACTGTCCTCGAAATACTTAACGAAATCAGACGCGTTTTCTCCTCCTATTTTCTTCGTGCCGGAGTTAGACAGCTTCGGTTTATCCAGATCGTTGTCCTTATTGTTCGTGAAGTCCAAAAGCGGCGAGCTCGACTTGAAATATTCACCCAGATCACTGACGTTTTCCTCCTGCAACGGGGCTTTACTTCCGGCTTGCTCTTGTGGGATTTGATGTCTCTTTTCGATATCTATGCAAGCCAACAGAGTTTCGTCGCCGAAAGACTGCATTATTTCCTCGGTCTGCAAGTGCAAGTCTTTCGGCCGGCGGTTTTAACCGAGGCGATTTAAATCGTTTTGAGAGCGAGTGCTGCCAGCTGCCATCAGTCTCGTCAGTCTAACCGTCAATCGAGAAATTCCTATATTTGACCCAGGGACCCCAGGGCTACGTTCCAAAATTCACTCTAGTTAATTAAAATGCTATAGTGTACATGTACATACGTGACGTAAAGTATAGATTTTAAGTTAGAGCCAAAGCACATAACATGGCGTAGCGATATACGACAGTCGTAGTCCTCGACCTGACAAATCAGGATACGCCAAAGCTTGTGCGTTACTTACGTCCACGACTACGACTGTCATATGTGCTTTGGCCCTTACTCAGAGTGAATTTTGGAACGCAACCCAGGTATTTAAATCGAAGAAAATATTGAACACCAATTGGTTGTTGAACGAAATTCTTATAGGGCTTTAAAATAATTTCCAGGGATTTCTGGAAATTTTATAACAGCCAATTATATAACACATTTAGGACAATTCCGATTAACAAATTCCGATTAATATGTCTATTTCTATTAATGTAGATTAACTTTTATCACGGTTTAATTTACTTTTTACACAATAATATATAGATAAAAGTTACTTTTTAAAAAATTAACTAATTTTCTTAAAAGTAAATTTAAAAAAAAAAAATAAAAATAAGTAAATTAAACCGAGATTTAAATTAATCTACATTTACTACGTTTACGCGAGCGTTACTTCAGTAGTAACTTACTATATGATTAATTCCTTCGCGTAAACAAGATTTTCCTTCGCGTAAACGGGATTTTGTAGTAACTTACGATAATTTACTCGTTTACGCGGAGTAAATTATCGTAAATTATCGTAAGTTTACGCGAGCGTTACTTCTGTATAGTAACTTACGATAATTTACTCGTTTACGCGGAGTAAATTATCGTAAGTTACTACAGAAGTAACGCTCGCGTAAACGTAGTAATTGATAGAAATGGACATTAGGGTCGGCAGGAGACACGGTAGAGACCTATACTCTGTCGGGTTAATAATCTCACAATAACGGTGCATTGTTTATAAAACACTCTTTGAT